TAGTCTAAGAATAATTTTTTATAGTTTCTACGAGGACTGCCTCCTTGCCACGTGTCACAAAAAAAAATTGACACTTTTCGGTTCATTCTGACATGATTTTTTTTCGAAACCATTTCCGGGGAGGTAAAAGAGGATTTGTAGTCACTTTTGAGCTGTTTAATTGTTTTACATAAAAGCAAAACAAACATGAATTTATTTTAGATCATCTTGCTTGCTTTCAGTGGTGATTTAATAATGCTTTTCTCTTCAAACCCTTTTGGCCATGCGATTTTAGCCAGAAAAGACTATAAATGAAGCTTGAAGTCCCTTGCTGCCGCTTATTTTGCTTCTTAAATGATTTCATCTCACGCACTTCTCTATTCCGAGCAAGTCTAGTCTGTTCATCGATAAGAGTATGTCGTTATTATTATGACAATGTTCACTTTGAAATGCTTGATCGAAATGAGGTTGAAATTGACTACAAAACAGATTGAACGAAAACTCTTATTGTTAGTAAAACCTGTTAAGCATGTAAATGACATTTTAAATTTTTTTGACACGTGGCACTCCTCCCTGTAAAGCGAGACCAGATATGGTACAAGGATGGAAGCAATACTCTTCTTTGAAAAAATGGGTCCAGATAACGGAAAAGTACCGAAATATCTTGCCGCCAGTGGCGGTCGCAGGACTTCGGACCAGGGGGGGCGACAATTTTTTTCAAATGAAGGTGCGTGGCCACGCATTCCGAAAAAATTTTTGGGCTCACTTACCCCCGGATTAGTGCCATCTGAGCCTCGTAGCTTCAGCTTTGGAAAAAAGATGAAATCAATAAAAGTAATGGAAATTCTCAAAAACTATCTTTGCAGTGAGCGTGCCACATACAACTTTGTGCAATGTCAGCCGTGTAGCTCTAATTTTACAAAGAATAGAAAAATCGGCAAAAATAATAGGTTCTTCTAAGAACACCTATTACAATCGTAATCGGCATGCTCGCTTTCTCCCATGTGCCAAATCCCAGTTCCTGGCTTAAACCTTGCAAAAAATCGAAAGCCAGTGAAGGTAAGTGACAAGTTGTAAAATAAGAATGTGCTCGTGAGCAGCATGCTCAATTACCTGCCTGTACCAATCCCCAACGCCATAGTTCAAACATTGCAAAAAATCAATCAAACCAATAGAAGTAAGGGGTATTTTCTGAAATGTTATGATATTCGTAATCAGCATGTTCCCTTACCCCCGTGTGCCAACTCCCAGTCACGTAGTTCAAAATCTGCAGAAAAATCGATAGAATGATAAAAGTAATGGGTATTTATGAAAATGGTTATCATATTCGTAATCAGCATGCTCGATTACCCCCGTGTGCCAAACCCCAGCCCCGTAGCTTGAACCATGCAAAAAAATCGATAAAATGATAAAAATAATTGATAATTCTAGAAACTAATACTGTATTCGTAATCAGCATGTTCGCTTACCCTCCCGTGCCAACTCCCAGCCCCGTAGCTTGAACTTTGCCAAAAAATCGATAAAATGATAAAAGTAATGGGCATTTTTGAAAATGGTTATCATATTCGTAATCAGCATGCTCGACTAACCCCGTGTGCCAACTCCCAGCCCCGTAGCTTGGTTCAAAAAATCGATAAAATGATAAAAGTAAATGATAATTCTAAAAACCAGTATTGTATTCGTAATCAGCATGCTCGATTAACCGCGTGTGCCAACTCCCAGCCCCGCAGTCCAAAATTTGCAAACAAATCGATAAAATGATAAAAGTAATGGGCATTTTTGAAAATAGTTATCATATTCGTAATCAGCATGCTCGATTACCCCCGTGTGCCAACTCGCAGCCGCGTAGCTTGAACTTTGCCAGAAAATCGATAAAATGATAAAAGTAATGGGCATTTTTGAAAATAGTTATCATATTTGTAATCAGCATGCTCGATTACCCCCGTGTGCCAACTTCCAGCCCCGTAGCTTGAACTTTGCCAAAAAATCGATAAAATGATAAAAGTAATGGGCATTTTTGAAAATGGTTATCATATTCGTAATCAGCATGCTCGATTACCCCCGAGTGCCAACTCCCAGCCCGTAGCTTGAACTTTGCCAAAAAATCGATAAAATGATAAAAGTAAAGGGCTTTATCGAAAATAGTTATCATATTCGTAATCAGCATGCTCGATTACCCCCGTGTGCCAACTCCTAGCTCCGTAGCTTGAACTTTGCAAAAAAATCGATAAAATGATAAAAATAACTGATAATTCTAAAAACCAGTATTGTATTCGTAATCAGCATGTTCGCTTACCCTCCCGTGCCAACTCCCAACCCCGTAGTCCAAAATTTGCAAACAAATCGATAAAATGATAAAAGGTAATGGGCATTTTTGAAAATAGTTATCATATTCGTAATCAGCATGCTCGATTACCCCCGTGTGCCAACTCCCAGCCGCGTAGCTTGAACTTTGCCAGAAAATAAAATGATAAAAGTAATGGGCTTTATCGAAAATAGTTATCATATTCGTAATCAGCATGCTCGATTACCCCCGTGTGCCAAACCCCAGCCCCGTAGCTTGAACCATGCAAAAAAATCGATAAAATGATAAAAATAACTGATAATTCTAAAAACCAGTATTGTATTCGTAATCAGCATGTTCGCTTACCCTCCCGTGCCAACTCCCAACCCCGTAGTCCAAAATTTGCAAACAAATCGATAAAATGATAAAAGGTAATGGGCATTTTTGAAAATAGTTATCATATTCGTAATCAGCATGCTCGATTACCCCCGTGTGCCAACTCCCAGCCGCGTAGCTTGAACTTTGCCAGAAAATAAAATGATAAAAGTAATGGGCATTTTTGAAAATGGTTATCATATTCGTAATCAGCATGCTCGATTACCCCCGAGTGCCAACTCCCAGCCCGTAGCTTGAACTTTGCCAAAAAATCGATAAAATGATAAAAGTAAAGGGCTTTATCGAAAATAGTTATCATATTCGTAATCAGCATGCTCGATTACCCCCGTGTGCCAACTCCTAGCTCCGTAGCTTGAACTTTGCAAAAAAATCGATAAAATGATAAAAATAACTGATAATTCTAAAAACCAGTATTGTATTCGTAATCAGCATGTTCGCTTACCCTCCCGTGCCAACTCCCAACCCCGTAGTCCAAAATTTGCAAACAAATCGATAAAATGATAAAAGGTAATGGGCATTTTTGAAAATAGTTATCATATTCGTAATCAGCATGCTCGATTACCCCCGTGTGCCAACTCCCAGCCGCGTAGCTTGAACTTTGCCAGAAAATAAAATGATAAAAGTAATGGGCATTTTTGAAAATAGTTATCATATTCGTAATCAGCATGCTCGATTACCCCCGTGTGCCAACTTCCAGCCCCGTAGCTTGATGCCAAAAAATCGATAAAATGATAAAAGTAATGGGCATTTTTGAAAATGGTTATCATATTCGTAATCAGCATGCTCGATTACCCCCGAATGCCAACTCCCAGCCCGTAGCTTGAACTTTGCCAAAAAATCGATAAAATGATAAAAGTAATGGGCTTTATCGAAAATGGTTATCATATTCGTAATCAGCATGTTCGATTACCCCCCTGTGCCAACTCCCAGCCCCGTAGTTCAAAATTTGCAAATAATCGATAAATTTGGTAGAAGTAATAACAAGCTTCCATGCTGGCAAATGACAAACACGAAAACACCATCGAGGACCTACAGACAGCATCAACAAGCATGCTTATCCACCAGCGTACAGACAAGCCGCCAGTGTACAGACAAAATCCCATTCGGTTTTATATATATAGAAGGATAGTGAGAAAGTTTCGTCACGAAACGTTGGGCGTTGGCTTTGTCGTCCACCCATCCATCGTCCATCTTGTCGATTCTCAGAGGAGGTCCTATCATCTCAATTAGCCATCCTATGACTACGACGTCCATGTCAGAAAACCACCAGCATCATCAACCGCTACTCTCCAACATCAGCAGCTGATGATTCCGAACCAGATGCTCTACGAAGACGTGGAGGAGGTGGTCCGAAACGAGAACTTCTTCAATTTGTTGTGGGCGACTTCAACGCGAAAATCGGGATGTCACTAAAAGAGGAATATAGGTTCCGGAAATTTGGATCCAAAACAAAAACGGCAACCTTCTCGTTGACTTTCTCTCCGCGGCACGACTTTTCCATGGAAATCATCTTCATGAAGAAAGAACATCCCAGTGGACGTCGGTCTCAATTGAATAACCCAGCGGAGATCGGCCACCTCATCAACCGAAGGTGAAGCTTGTTCGATGTCTTAGTTTCATCCTTCTGCATAGTCCCGATCACCGCTCCTTCTAGCGAAGGGATTTAGTTGAAAGCTGGAAAAGCAAGTATGCCGCAGTGCTGCAAGAAGGATAGAAATCGTTACAGGCTGGAAGAGCTCATGTCAAGTTTGGCCCATTGAGGATAATCCAGCGTAAATCTACGACTTTATGAAAAAATTGCGAGTCTGCGGAGAGCGCGAGTAAGTGACTTTTGAGAAGAACTTGGAACGCATTTCGAAGAAAACCAGAATTAGTCAAAAAAAGAAGATCCTCAAGGCAAGGTCCAATGCAACCCATCTCGAGCGACTGATAACCAAGCCGGTTGCAGAGCAGCTTTGCAGGAGGATTTCAGGAAATACAGGCAAGCCAAGATACTGGAAGCAGCCGAAGGAAGTCGAGTTCTTAAGAGGTCCGGAGGGACCAATCGTTGCTCCCACTAGAGTTACCACCACGAATTCTACCTACTGAGGTGCGCACCGCGATTCAGACATGAGTATGTTGGTAATGGCATCATCTGCTCGTGCAGCACGACTATCAACGGGGATACAAGTGTACAGGTGAACTTACAAGTAGAAGCACATTTACAGACAACATCCAGTATTTCAAAAGTTTAGAGATGGACAAGGACAATTTCCCGAAAATGTGCTTGCAGAAATGCGTTTATTGCAATGATTACCGAGGATAGCTGTGAGTAATTGCTTACTATAGATTGAGTCTTCAATATTTATTCCATGTCAGTAAACTTATTCAACGATTTATCTATTCACAAACTCCATTAATTCAGCATGTAACTGCTTGAAACTGTACATAATAGCACCTCTGCTTATAAAATTTGAGCATCCATATTAGCTTCACTGCAGTGTAAGAACACTCATCATAAGGACTGAATATCAGGCCAGCAACGACGCTAGAACGAGTATGCATTGCTCATATTTCTCTCCGCTATTTCCTCTTCTAAAATGCGGATTCTTCTCTCATGCTGTCGCATTACTGCCTTCATTTTAGCAAAGTCCGACAACAGCTCTTCCATACTTGTCGGACCCTGAACTAGTGATTGTGGTCTTCTGGGAGAATACGGGGCAAAACTGGGGCTCAAACGAACATCCGTACTGCTGACGCTCATACGTGGGGATGGCGTCGTATTAGCATTCCGCTGCGGAGGAGATCGCTGTGGAGGCATATAGTCTTCTTCTGGAGCCGTGCGTGCCTGAAACAAGTAGCTCTATGTTTCGAATATTCTAGCGCTAATACTCTAAGCGCTCAAAACAATGATGATAGTACAGCTTTCAGTGTGATCTCAGATTGTTATAATACAGTCTGGTTGATTTCCATCCTTACCTGATCTCTTTTGATCCTTTCTAACTCGGCAGCTGCTCTTCGTTGTCCAGCGGTTTGTGAACCTCCATCATCTCTTTCAGCACGGGAGCGAAGATTGACCTAAAAATGCTGAACAGTCCTCACTGGAACCATTGAACTTGCTGACAAACGTAGGTAATCTTTTTTAGCTGTATAGAGGAAAAGTGAGAGAGGCACTGAATAGCAGTGGCACGGGGATCAATTATATAGGTGTCTCTGTACATTTCTGATATGGACAGTGTAATCAAAATAAATTTTTTAAACTATATTACTTAGTTTGAAAATAGTATTATAGGATTGCCAAGACTTTGAGAGGGGCCGCAGTTTTTGGCAGTCTGTGTCCCCCCCCCCCCCTCCCCGGATGGGTGCGAATTTTTTAAGGCTTTCAGGGATTTAGGAACTTTGAGAAACTTGACTATAACACGAATTTATCAAAAGTTTCAAAGACTTCGAAATAACTTCTTATGACTAAAGGAACCGTGACCGCCGCCGCGCCCCCTTCTTTTTTGGGAGCCTTAAAAATCTCGGATGGGTGGTGTAGAATTTTTTTGATCCATACTTGTTGTCTTGGTGTTATTTGAGACGGTGGTCTTTCGGGACTTAGCCGTTCCGGGTAGTGTTGTTGTGATGATGGAGGACGCTGTTGACCCTGAAGTAAAGATTTTACAGAGTTACATTGAGAGCAGTGTGTTAGCACGTCTGGGTACCTGGAGTTGTTCTTATTGATGGTGATATGCTGCTCAAGCTGCAGCTCATAATATTCATTCGTGACCGAAACATCCAACTTTGGAGTCTAGCTCATGTGTTTTACGTACGGAAGGAGCATGGTACTGGACGAGAGAGTCAAAGTTGATTTTCCCAAGCTATGAAAACATACTACGAGCTACTGCATGAGCAGTGCAGAGCCTTCTCAATCTTTCCACATAGAGACTCCAGGTACCCAGATTTGTTTATGAAGGCAGTGTCTTGGCAATAAAGTTTCTGAGGAGTCGAACGAGTTGAACATGTATACTCATACTGAATCACATGCCTTCAGAACCACCCCTGACGCGCCAAAATAGGGCTTAGAATGTTACGTCGGATTATGCGAAACACTCAGGCGTGTATACCCCCCCCCCCCCCTCCTCATTCGCCGCCATCCCAACTTGGCTGAGGTGCGCAAAGTTGAACTTACGGCACCTCAGCGCAGTATCAAACTAGCTATTGATCTGGATGTGGATCGCTTTGTAGACATGCGCGATTCAAACAAAGAACATCTTTGCCGTTTGTATAGGTTTGGTTAACTAGATATGCTACTGCGATTCAACAGGCAGGACAATAATTTAAAAGCGGGGTCGCACTGTTTTTGCTACAGGTTGGAGAAAAAAGAATGTGGTTTTTTTTACAGCAGAGCAACAGGGCGAATCGGAAAAAATATGTGAAGGGTATTATTCGATAGAGCAAAGCGAATTCTACAAAATGGCATCTGAACATTGGCTCAAGTGGTTGGTCTACCCAAAGTTCAAAGAACATAAGAACAACTCATAGAGAATCAGATTTATTCCCGAAAAATCCCACGAATTTTACTTGCGCCAGCATGAGCAGACACATGCGCTTATCCATTTGTGCACTTGCCATATTTTTTCCGCGTTTAGAAATCAGGAAATAATTGACAAACGAAAAATGGTAAACTCCGCCCCTAGTATTCCTGGGCTCTGCCCATGTATGTAGTTGTGTACTATAAAAACCTTCGAGACTTTAATCATGAAATTTGGGCCTCCGATATGCTTTATTTCCCGAGAAATACCATCAGATGAAAAAAATGGTGACCGGTATCGAAAATTTCGCCTACAAACGGAGATATAAAACAAAAGCAACATTTGGAATAATTTAGCATGAAATTTTAGAGAAAGTTAGTAGCTGGAAAACGGACAAGGATAAGACCTCATTTTATACAGTTTCAAAAAAAAATTAAAGCATCCTCTGCCGATTATTCTTATGGCTGAATCAACTACTTGTCGATCCTTTCCGTCCGTGACCCTTGAAACTGTGTAGTTTTGCGCATTGTAGTCCATAGCATTGAGTCTACTTACGTTTCTCGTAAAGTAGCGCCAACAACTTGCAGGATTTTTTCTGATCCCATAATTTGCATAATACCGCGATAAGTTCAACTTGCGAACTACCTTCAGCTTACGGCAGCGCATTAAAGTGACCGCGACACTCTGAAAGCTGAACCATAGTTTGTTAAACCATGGTAAGACCTAAGGCATACCTCACGCGATTCTTGTCGCGGCGCGATTTGGCAACGCTCCAATTGTTCATAACTCATCGTAAGGGGTTTCTGAATCTACGGAAGATAATGCATTTTATCAAACTTCAAAAGTTATACATGCTATGCATTTGGGGTCTGCCAGTATTAAATATGAAGAGATCCGGAAAATTGCCAGATTGCGCGGCGACTGAAATCGTCTGAGGTATGTCTTAGGCCTAAAGTGGGCGGTTGTAAGTGACGAAGTTGCGCTGAGTACATTAGTTCAGTGGAACTTTGTATTCTATTCATTTGAAATTCCTGCTCAGGCTTGCCAAGCCATTGCCTTCAATGAGGCGAGTAAAGGCAAAGATTACTCACTGCACTCATGGGAACTATTCCCATGTCTTCGTCAATGACTGGTCGTCTTTGCTGCTGTGGTCGCGGTGATGGCGGTGCAGATCTTCACAGCAAACTTTAAGCACTACACCTATCTATCCTAATGCCAACCTTAAAAAAGAATAAGCTTTTTACACTTACACTTGCGGAGATGACTGTTCTGAATATGACCTGGGTGACGCTGCCTCTGCTCTATAACTACAGCATTTTCTGTTGTATGTAAGGCACAGAAAAACTTACGCTGTGGGTGTAAGTTGATTAAGTATGTTGGCTTTCTTCGCAACCTTAATATTAGCGAGTGGTCGTTAAGCTGCAGTATTTTCAAAAAGCAAAAGCAAACCTGAAGTTTAGGTTTAGCCTGTGCGGCCGCAGCATTTACAGGCTGTAAATTTGGCATAGCATTCTTCCCTGAATAAAGAAAGAATTTGAGTAAATAAAACTTAGAGTGTCAACACACCTTCCATGAATTCTTCAGCTGTGAGGGCAGGAACAGTAGAGCGTGTGTCTGGGTATAGATCATGCTAAAATACATTTATATTATGTAGTTGTAAATATTTTGTAAATATTCCTGCAACTCTCAACTTGTCACCAAAGGCGACTTCCAAAGGCAAGTAGAGCAAACCGATGGATCCGGCGTACTATGGACCCTGCAGGCTATATAAGGAGGCGCCGGCATTGCAAGAACAGTTGAACACGGATCGATGACAAGTCTTACAAGTCTTACAAGTGAATTTGTTCATTTATTTCATTTGTTTCTTGATGTTAATTTGTTATGTAGTTGCTCATAACTGTTGTTCGTTGTTATTGTTGTGCATAATTTGATAAAGGGTTTAATTACCCAAGTTTGAGGTATCACCATCGTACAAGCCCCGCGTGGCAGTCGAACAAGTGTACAAGTTACAAACTTTTCTACACAACTCTCAACTCGCCTATATGAGGAGTTTGTGAGATTAAACTCAGAAACGAGTAAAAGCGATTTGGGCAACTTTCAATTCTCTGAACGTTTCCGTCTCTCTCAGACACCATTATCTTAACAAAAAATATAAAATTTCTCAACAGGACTGTTTTTGCTTTGCTCCATAACTTTCGTCTTTTGACAAGACTACATATTCATAGAGCTTAGTCAGAGCTCGGCACAGATCATTAAACAGGCTGGACTTCGTTTTCGGAGCGAAAAAGCAAAGGGAATATCGTTTTTGTAGGTCCGAAAAAACAAAAATTAGGTTAATTGCTTTAGTCGCCGTTTTCGAAAAGGGTCAAAGGAGATTTTTTGAAATTTTGCGAAAATCAAGGGCAACTTCGTTTTCAAAAAGCTTAGGAAAACGGACTCATGCCGGGTTTTGAGCTTACAATTAGTCGAACAGTAAATAGTACTCAAATGCTGACGACATGCTATTCTTCCATCACTCACGCCACATAGTTTTTGTCGAAATTCAATGATTTAGAGTGAATCATGATTGCGAAACAGTTGAAAATGCCAGAGACGAAGAGTACGTCGTCAACAAAGAAGTGTCGCTTATTATTGAGCAACAATTCGTCAATGCGTCAAGTAACTCTTACAATTCTTGAAGGCACCGTCCACCCAAAATGGAGGTTGGCGAGATATGGCTCACTAGTGTGGGCCCCAACACTAGGCAAACCCCCAAGCTTCGCCGCAAAAGACTGCTTCTGGAGGAAGAAATCCGCTCCGGAATTAGCAAAATAGGCGGGGCGACCATGGTCGCCCCGCCCACTTGCATGCTTTATCTCGCCTGCGCTTGTTGCAGAGGGTTCTCGAAACAGGGATTTTTGGGGGTTTCGCGGATTTTCGACTCCATATTCGGAATCAGGGCTTTCAGAAGGCCTGGAGGCCACAGAAACATTGAATTCGATTTTGGGTGGGCGGTGACTTCAAGAACTTCATCCAAAGCAGCCCCTGGTCATTCTTGCATAGACATGTAGTGTCCGAAACTTTCTCGCTTTCTCGTTTTCGAAGTTGTAGAGTGTCTGCTCTATTTAGTAAAAAAGTGATTCAAACCTGGAAGAGATCGGACTTCCGCGGCACAAAGAATTGAAGCACGTCCACGACTCCCTTTGTTGTAAGTTTGTATATTCTAAAAATATACTTTGAACCTTTTTGATTCCTGTAAAACAAAGTAGTAAACTGATAGTCACTGGAATGCTGTTTTATCTACACAACCTGAGCATGTAGTTATATGTGTCAGTAATTGCCACACTTTAAATCAGACCCAAAGTTTCAAACAAACCATCTTCTTCAGAAGTCTGAACATACGTGAAATCATAGAATTTTGACATTTACCACATCCTCAAAAAGCCTTTTTTACATTGCCAGTCTAAACCTAGCAGACAGTATAAGACATGCTTGATATGTTACATCTTCAGATGGTCTGGGAGTATTTCACTCTGATGCGAAGGCTTGCAATGGGCCAGCGCCTGGCGCCTGTCCTCGCAGTATATTGAATATCGAAGAGTTAGTATTTCCTTGTATGCCTCTGATGTACTTTCGCTACATTACAGCTGCGCGATGACGTCTACTTAGGCCGAGAGGTACGAGTGCGCTGATATCTGAACCAGGAGTCCCGATGCATCAGACATTATAGGAATTTCACGCGATGGATAGCCTCTACTCAAGTAAAATAAGTCTATATGAAACTATACTTTATGTCAAAATGCATCGCAAGGATCGTAAGGAACCCTCAAGAAACACTCCAATTCATGCTAACTCTGCTACACGCGTAACAACGAAATGATGATTTGAACGGCTAGCCGTGTCAGGACACGGCACGTGATTTACAAATAGACAGCTGTGAAACAACTTCATCTTTGCCACTTTCGATTTTTACGAGTCCTCGCTTGATCGCAGCAGCTGCTTGGATCGTTCAGTTGAAGTGCTTTCTCCCCTGACGGAGGTTTTGCTATTTGGAATCTTATCAAAGTGCTGGGGGGGGGGGGGTTAGAAGCCAAAATGTTACCATATGATAAACTCTGGGTGCAGAACAATTTGTGTAAAATTATTGAAAAATTATGTGAACGGGACTAGATGGCATATGCTACTTTAATCAGAATGAAAGTTAGCACATCCTGAAGCACATAAGTTTTTCATATTATTTCATACTTTGTTCTTATTCCCCAGTACTTATAAAATTACATATCAAGTTCGAAGCCATATTGGTTAATGTGCGTTGCAAATAAGTTATTTACCACTTTTCACCAGTGAGAACTTCTCAGAAAAAATGCTTGCACAACAATCAATGACTTAATCTTTCCACAATACTCTGCATTATGCTCTTCCAGTCCTTGTCCATTTATGTACCAAATTCGGAGTCATATCGTTATATGTACGCTATAGACGATGCAGTTAATTATTACTTGAAAGAAAGTCGATTTTTAAAGATGACGCGCGGGCAAGATCGTGTTTTTGCATGTTAGTCGTGTAGTTGTCGAGAGAGTGCGTATACTCATATGAATCACTAGCGAATTTAGGATTTTCCGTTCGGAGGGGGGAGAGTGGGGGACAGAAAAATGTTTCGTTTGAAGGTGGGTGGCTTTAGCCACGCACTTCAGAAATTTTTTTCTATTTTCAAAAATTTTCGCGTCTAAAACCCCGAAAAATCAGCAAAATGGAGCGTGGAGGCCACCGCGCTTTGAAAGATTTTTTTACAAGGCCAATACGAATTTTTAAAAAAATTCAAGAAATTATTTTAGTCGTTTATAAGCATAAACAAGTCATTTGCAGCATTTTTTTTTTTAACCCATGTAAGAAACTTTCAGCAATTTGTCGACCCATTCTCAGGGGGGGCTCAATCAGCCACTGATATGAACTTAAATCAAGAAGGCTAGCATCACAGATTGTCTGTAGCAACAGATACAACAGAAAAATACCAAGGCGAAAATATTTCGCGTCCCCAAAATCATGCCCATTTGCCAAGCGTGACAAAATTCCTCTTTGCACACAAAAAGTCAGTGCAGCAATTGAGCAATGCTATATCCGACTTAACTGCAAGGTGATATTCTTAATCGACAATCCGAAAAGAGGCTAAAAACAGTAATGAAGAGACTCTAAAATGAGAAATGTGTGTTAGAGCAACGCATTGTTTGCCCCGCATGAAGCAGCTTGGATCTCCGCAAGGAATCCAAAACTAAATGCCAAAAACATATGCCTGTTTCTCAACAGCAATCTCTTGCCATTCTTGACTCTGTGTGATACGATAGCACAAGAAGGGCTTAAGTCAGTGGGTGTCATCTAAGCCCGTAGTAAACCCCAGAAATAAGTCTTGATGTAAGGAAGGCGAACTCGCGACGTGTCCGACTGAAGGACAAGCTGCTCGCGACCACGACTTGGTCGCCACAAAATTTGAAGGCGCACGTGCAATCGAACCCTTCGATGACCGTCGACGGCGCACATTGCCACTGCGCTACAGAGTTTTGCCATTTCCGATGAATTCAAAGTTGAAGCGAACGAACAAGATGAGGCAGACAGATATATTGCCTGCCATCGTTCGAATAAATCAGTAAGCAAGCTCCGAATTGTAGTAGCCTCTATTTGTAGATTGTAAAGAGGTGCACTGTCTCCGATATTCGTTACCAGCGCATACTGATGATGTCCCAACAAGAAGCGTGGATATTCAGCGTTAATGGATGCTGCTGTGCTTGGCAGAAGAGATGCGGAAGAGCTAACGAAGAACAAATCAGTGAAAGTATGTAATTTTTGATAACGTAAAAACTAATGAGGGAGGAATCAGGCAATTTTCTCAGGTAGAAAAAATCGGCACTCAAATTGTTTGCAATGTAAGAGTAAAGAGAAGAACCGACTGATTGGGACTCTAATAAATATACTCACTTCTCTCAAGCTGATTACGCAGTGGTGCAGAAATGCTCAGAAAAATAAGAAGAGTTGCTTTTCACTTACACATTTGTGCGTTTATCAGCTGCTGATATCAGTTGCAGTCAACGTACGGTAAACCAGTGATGTATGCCTACGGTCCTTGCGCACAGGACGAACTCGGCGCACTTCACTAGTCGGCTGCGCCTTCCTCGTTTCCACGTCGGGCCCACAATTTTTGTTTGTCTGCCCCGCAAGTGACGACGTTCATGCGTGCTCGCCTTATGCGCACGACTACGAGCACGTCCTACAGTCATGACATCCATCGATTTCACCTGGCGGCGGTGATAAGAGATAGCCGCCGGATGAATTGCGGCCAGGACACGTACTGGGTACCTGTTTTGCTCACGAGTGTCATGACCACTATCAGGGAGGGGGGGGGGGGAGGGGATAACTACGGGCCCTAGTGACGCGTCGACTTCCGACGTGCGAACTCGTTGCATTTCGTTTCGAAGTTCCCTCTTATGCTGGCTGCTACTCCCAAGGTCTAGATTGGCAACGTAAGAGGCATTCTCGACGGTGAGGTAAACGGATCAAAATGCGTTGACCAAGTTCGACTCTCGATTAATCTCGGCATGTTGCAAATGCTTGTTGTGGCTTGTTTAGCTGGACACCGGGATTGGTATATCCTGTATTCGATTAACGTTTCGGCGGTATCGCCTTTTTCAGAGTCTGAAATTGTCGAATGCATAAGTGAACTATCCTATCAAAAACCGCCTCAAAACTTAGATAGACGCCCAATGCGTCAGTGAGCCAAGAACTCGAAAGTGAACGCAGGATTAAACTAATGCTTACCTAAACAGACAAAGTGGTATTGCAGACCACTATACCAGTAACTGAGCTCATACTTTCTTATATACCCATTCACCTGGCCTCAATTTGACCTCAGAAGCCGCAAAGGCTCTGATAAGGCGCCAACTCATTAGTGATATCTATGCACTCATCTTTTCGATTCAAATTTGGACTTTTGGCGGTAATCCAAAACGCTTCTAAAGTCTTGCGCGCTAGGATTTCGGATTCGTACGCTAAGATCGTGACCTCCACGCGTATCTCTGCGTCATTATGGAACTGTCTGCGATGCTTGCCCAGTGGAGTTGCCGTGTTCGATTTTTTGAGCTCGTCTAGGTGTTCTTTGACGCGTATACATAAGGGCAGCCCCGTCTCGCCGATGTACGTGCCTCCACATGTCTGACAGGTGATAAGGTACACTACCCCCGCAACCATGCAGTTGCCTTCCTTACCCTGCGGGCATATGATGCATCCTGGAGTCATGCAAAGCCTGTCATATGCCCTATTTCGTACTAGCTGATGTTTGAGGTTTGTAGGGGGTATGTCAACTACCCTTATCCAATCCTGGAGGTCCGCTTGTACTACTAATCTTCTGACCGTCTTGCTCAACTCCTCTGAGATATACGGCAGGGAGAAAGGGATCTTTCTATCGGTTTCTGTAATCACATTCTCCTGAACTCGGTGATGTTTTGCGTAAGTGTGCCCAAAGGTCTTGTAACCGTTAGATCGAGCTACTCTGCCAGCTATCGCCATGGAATAAGCCTTTTGTTGCCCGTCAGAGGAGACCTTTACAGCAGTTCTGAACATATTTTCTACAACTGATTTTTTGACTTGCCGGGGGTGCGCTGAAAAACAGCTAGACGGGCTCAAAAAATCGAACACGGCAACTCCACTGGGCAAGCATCGCAGACAGTTCCATAATGACGCAGAGATACGCGTGGAGGTCACGATCTTAGCGTACGAATCCGAAATCCTAGCGCGCAAGACTTTAGAAGCGTTTTGGATTACCGCCAAAAGTCCTGAATCGAAAAGATGAGTGCATAGATATCACTAATGAGTTGGCGCCTTATCAGAGCCTTTGCGGCTTTTGAGGTCAAGTTGAGGCCAGGCGAATAGGTATATAAGAAAGTATGAGCTCAGTTACTGGTATAGTGGTCTGCAATACCACTTTGTCGGCATTTGTTTAGGTAAGCATTAGTTTAATCCTGCATTCACTTTCGAGTTCTTGGCTCACTGACGCATTGGGCGTCTTCCTAAGTTTTGAGGCGGTTTTTGATAGGATAGTTCACTTATGCATTCGACAATTTCAGACTCTGAAGAAGGCGATACCGCCGAAACGTTAGTGGAATAAAGGATATACCAATGCCGGTGTCCAGCTAAACAAGCCACAACAAGGATCAAAATGCCTATAATTTAAGTTTACACTCCCGAAAAAGACGAGGTTGTTCAAAACGTGTTATTCAATGGTGTGTATCCACCAAGAAACCTGGCAGACACAATAGTATTACTGAGACATAAAGTGAGAGTGTTCCTTCCAAAATTAATGAAACGTTTTATTGTTAACTCATAGCACGCAAAGATTGCTTGTATTGGAGAGGCAGCAGCTAGATGAGGATGCGTATGGGGCGACCTGCCTCTGCGTGCGATAGATCACCTACACGTATTTGTTTGTCATACCTGTTGATTTCATTTTCTTCAGAGCACACTCCTCGTTTGCTTTGGAAACCAGCAGCTCTTTGTGGCTCGCTAGTAGTGTAGGTATTGATGTAATGAACATACGGGTATTCCATGTTAACTTCATAGTATCGGATCGCACAATCACCCTGACCGCACAAGGATATGTGTCACAAACGAAGAAAAGAAGTGTCCAACCTTTCCGCATAAATACACCAGATTCGTATCCTCGTCATAAAAAGGGAAAAGCACTCCGTTTGATGTGTCTAATTCTTCTTCGATGATGGGTTGCGACAAATTATCCTGGATAAATGTCATAAAATGAGAAAGAACAAGCTAGTTTGAAGTCGGCTGACCGGAAATGTCCGTATCGCTGTAAGTTAAACGTGCCCCTGCCCTCATGCGGGCCAATGCCAAGCGCAGCACGAAAGCCAGATCGGCAGCCGTGCTTAGTCACGCTCGCGGGCGTTCAGACTATGTCGATACGGGCAATTTCGGTAGTACACTCTAGCCGCAAAACTTACAGGTGCTCTTAATGCATACAGACGCTCAGATCTTTTAGTAAACCCTGTAGTGAGGACTCTTCCATCACGTATAAAAATTGCACGCTGTGGTTTCACACCCTCGTGGCCCATGCCTTCATGTAGCACTTCGCCGCTGCGAGTGTCCAGAATTCGGATCTTTTTGTCCTACAAGAGTAATGACTACGTTTATAATTAGAACTTCGTCGTTGACTTTCTCACCTTACAGGTGGTGACGAACTGCGAACCATCGTAGTTGAACCCGATGCAAAAGATTTGATCAGGATGCCCAGCAATTTCAAGAAGTGCTTCTCCAGTGCCAACATTCCACAAGAGTAGCTTGTTTTCACCGCCTAAAAAATTGACTACGCAACTGCGAAGGATTTTGAGCAACACTCATTCTTGAAATTGTCCACAAAAAGGGTGCATCCCCGACCAACACCACTTTTTTTTCAGAAAGCCACAAAACAAGTCCCAAGCTGATTCGCTACTTGATTATTCCTTTTTTAGGAGCAGCAAGGAAAATAACTTACCAGCAGTGAGCAATAGATTACTGGCGACAGGATGCCATGCCAGAGTGTTTACTCTTTTCTGATGTCCACTGAGCTCAACGACCGGCTCAGAAAGTGTTCTTATGAGACCTTTGTCGGGAATCAGCCAGACCTAAAATTCTCCAAAGATTCATTCCTACTCTATCAAGATAGCATTGGTGATTTTATCGAGTCAGCGCACGCAGAGACTGGTCGGAGTTGCGTCTGACCAAAGCAGTACGTGTTTGGAAGAGGCAGCAGACGATAAGAGAGGTGAGAGGGCGCTTGATCCGAGAGACGCCGATAGCGTCCGCAGTTGCGCTGCGTCTCTGCGTGCATTGACTCGCCTATAACATTTGTGACATCCCACGTAACGCATTCAAGGTGGAGGTAATTTTTAGACTATTCAAAGTCAGATGGCAGTGAATGCAATGATAAATTGTGGTAATCAAACCGCAAATGACAAGTTTTTTATTGAAGCGGGAAACACATGTACCTTGCATGTGGTGTCCTCAGAACAGGAGGCGATCACATTGTCATTGAATGGGCTCCATGCAACTTCCAGACAAGCACCTTTATGAGCATCAACAAATGGATAATCTTTGTCGATCCGGCCAACCTCAAAATGGAATTTTAGTCAAGAGTTGATTCCACTGATATAAATCATCAAATATTGATCAGGCTGAGTTTGGCTCAACGAAACTATGATTTATCATTGGAAACAGACATTACAGACGGACAGTCCAATATTTCAAGTGAGCAAAAGTTAAAAATGTAGATGTTGAAAACAGCAGATGGAGTTTGTGAATTTTGGAAGTAAAGTCACCTTTGGTAAGGTAAAAAGTATTACTGAAGTTCATAGAAGTACCTACAGAATAGTCTACAGAGAACTGTGCGTGGATAAGACCTGAAAAAAAGCAAGAAATCAGGGATGAGGCAGCAAAAGACGAAAAGACATAGGATTTCTATTACTTGACACCGTAGGAAGCAAAGGGACTTAATTTGAGATAGCTTGGGTAACAATGCTTCGAATTTGAGCCAAAGAACACGCTAGAAAACGAATTCAAAATCAATGCAAGGGAGAAGTTTTGAGCTGGTTCGGTTCCGCGCAGTTGATGCCATTTGTTTGCTAAAATTTTCTTGGAAAGATATAAAATGATTTGACCATAAGACCATACATTTACGGAAAATCATTTGAAAGTGTTTAATAAATACGAGATTAATGAACATCCGAGCATCTGGTCAAGCATATGCCCCTCTTCAACGGAATATCAAAAATCAGACACCACTCAAAGATTTGTTATCTGCATACTTGAATAGAACATCAAATAATTCGTTTGCTATGGGCTCCAGATAACGTGCTATTACCTCTGAACTTTCCCTACGAACTTTAACGAGAAATTTCAGTGGAAAAAACTGGACATGTTACTAATCGCCTGTAGACACTATACAGGGCGTCCTAAAAAATGTGCACACTGTTTGATTGTAAATAACTTTCTTGTAGTGAAGTGTTTCGAGAAGCTTTAGGTATCATTTTGTAGAGCGAGGTTCAACTTAGATTTGCAGTGTAGAGCGAATCGCCGATCGCTCATTCTTACTGTAGGAGTACGGTAGAAACTTCAAACATATGATGTCACTGTGAAAAAAGCGGCCGTTTCAAAAATTTTCGAGAAAAGGTGGAAATTTGTGTAATAGGGTTTTTATGGACCCTGAGTTCAATGCCCAACTCTTTACAAGGTTGAGAAGCTTTCTAAACGGTGTAACCGCACTTTTTAGGAACACTCAAAAAACGTCTGCTTGCTTACCTCCATAATTTTTTGGTGAAGCATTAAGAAGAGTTGCAAACTTCACATTTAGAATCAGCAACTCTAGTTAGCCCAGCGTGAGAGTTTTTAGATTGTTTTGGTTTCTTTTTGGAACAAAATATGGCCTTTCATGGCTAGAAGCCCTCTTCAAAGTTTCTAGGTTCAGCTTAGATTTACAGTATGGAGCGACTTATCAGCAGCTCTTCATCACTGTAGGATTACGGTAGGAATTTCGAGGGGAATTTAAGCCATTGAAAGCGGTATTTTGCTTCAGAAAGAAAGCCAAACAAGCCAGAAACTCTTGAACTGGGTTAATTGAATTGCTGATTCTAAATATGAAAATTGCACGTCAATACACTGCTTCTTTCATGAGTTATTTCAAATTTAGGGTAACAACTGATTTTCCAGTGTTTGTTAGAAATGTGAATACGCCATCAAGAAAGCTCGAAAAACAGGGCGAAAGTCGTGTAGTGAAATCAGCACACCTCAAAACCTTGCTACACGAATTTTCAGATTTTTTCGGATTATTTCATCAAAAGGCTTATTTCACAGTGAGGCTATATGCTGAAAGTTCATACCGTGATTCTACAGTAACGAAGAGTGATTAGTGGTTCGCTCCATACTGTACATCTAAGTTTATCCTCGCTCCACAGAATGGTACTTCAAGCTCGGCAGAAGACATGAAAGCAAGAGAGTTATTAACGATCCAACAGTAAGCACATTTTTTTGGGACACTGTATTTATACTTTTTCAACACCATGATGTCCTATGTGTCTGTCTTTGATAGAAATTTTCAAGATAGTCGAGAAGTTCCGCGCTCTTGCTTTTGCACGTAAAGGAAAGGGATTCTTCGCCATCACTGAAAGTCTTGTTCCATTTACGAGGTTTGAACTACCGTTGAATCTCCTTCGAACTAACCCCTTTTCTATAGAGTTTATCAGACGACGCTGCCTGGAGGTACGTATTGCGATGTGTGGAGCGGATATCTCAAAGATGGTGTATGCACAGGAAAAAATATCACAGTTGAAAGCGATGGTAACTAATCTATACGTTACTCCTTTTACCCCTAATAATATACGCTTCAGGCGCAGCTGAGATAGATGTTTTTCCCGTTGTAGCTATCTCGCTGGCTTCAAAAATTGGTAATCACATACAAAAAACGGTTGTTTTTACTATTTGATTCAAATGGCTTGGCTGCGGAAAGGCGGAGCTTCGTGACCTAAAATCAGGGCTAGGTCATGATCAGAGAAGAGACCCGCGTGAGGGAGAGGCAGGCGCGTCGCGGGCACGAGCGGCCTTAAAGGCAGTGGCCCGGCAGAATGAGACCCGTGGCAAAACAGGGTCGCAGGGTACGAGCCCCCATAATGGAACCTATGGGCGGAAGTTCGGTCTTTCTCTGTTACTTCTAACCCTCAAAATTTCAACTTGAAAACAGCGCTTCCATCTCCCTCCCCTCGGACCCCGACCACATTGCGATTTCCCTTCCACCAGTCAGAGCGCTCATGCTGCAATGCTATAGGCTCCCGCGACGACCCTGCGTCTTCGCCATGGCGGGCTTTGCCACCCGTCCATGTTTGAAATTAGATGGGCGGGGTCGGAGAGGAGGGGAGAAGAGCGCTGCTTTCGCGTTGAAATTTGGGGGCTTAGAAGTAACAAAGAAGAAGATCGAATTTTGGCCCATAGGTTCCATTAGGGGGGCTCCTACATTGTGACCTTGTTTTGCCACATGTCACAATCTGCCGAGCCACTGTCTTCAAAGGCAGTACATCGGCAGAACGAGACCCGTGACAAAACAAGGTCATAGGGTAAGAGCTCCCATATGGAACCTATCGGCCGAATTCCGATCTTTCTCTGCCACTTCTAACCCCCGAAATTTCAAAGCGAAAGCAGCGCTCATCTCTTGTCCTCTCCGAACCCGCCCACCCCATGGACGAGTGACTTCCGCGGTGAGAGCGCCAGCCGCACTGCTATAAGCATGAGGACCCGCAACGACTCTGCGTCTTCGCCATGACGGGCTTCGCGTTCACTCGTCCATAGGGTGGGCGGGTCGGAGAGGAGAGGAGATGACGCTGCTTTTGCTTTGAATTTCGGGGTTAGAAGTGGCAGAGAAAGATCGGACTTTGGCCGATAGATTCCATATGGGGCTCCTACCCTGCGACCTTGTTTTGTCACGGGTCTTATTCTGCCGATGTACTGTTCTTAAGGTCATAAAGAGCCGCCTTCCCGAAGCCATGCCAGTTGAATCAAAGGATACAGTGCCAAAAAAAGTGCCGTGCAGATACATCGGAGACGACGATTCCTTCGCAAACTTCAAGGCTGACAACTCACCATCCTCAGTCATCAGAGACGTCTTCTCCCTCGCATCCTACGCAGACTGTTACTCAGACAACGCCAACACAGTCATCCTCAAAACTCTTCTATTCCATTTGCTTTTGCATTCTATCATTTTCATTTTTGCCTTCCTTGATTATGCCTACACAAGAGGCTCTTTGAAAATTTTATATAAAGTTCTCGCGGAAACAACAGTTGTAAATTGCTCAATCCCTACAGAAAACATCCAATCATGTGGCATTTTTGTTGTTTGCGTGGGGCAAATAAGAAAATGCTATAAAACTACTCTATTTAATTCAGACAACGAAAGCTTACAACCGCACACTTTGCTCCAACGATATTATGTCATACTATTGAGTCTTGATTTAGGCTTATAGATAAAATCCAATAGATAAAATCTAACCCTCGCAAATTTTTATTTTTTTTGATTGTTTTTTTTTTCAAAAAATCTTCGCTATTCAAAGTGAACAGGCAATGTTTAACTACTTATTTATTCAATGCTACGGAAAGTAGACTGTCAGTTGCTTAGACGTCGTGCCTTAAAAAAATTCGTAGATGAGAGTGCAAATTTTGCTGCATAAAAGTTTCGAGAAATTGTGAATTGTTTTCTATCATGTTTGAAGAAACATACTGTATTATCACAGCCACAGTGTTATCATACTGTGTGTTGTGTGTGTATGTAGGTTTCAAATAGAATTCTTTCCGAAACGATTCGGACCAAACTTGGCACGTATACACTACTGGGCGGGGCAGTTGTCTTAAGCTTTTTTTCGTCATCGATCGATATCGATTTTATTAATTTTTGACGATTTTTTGCGAAGTTTAATCTACGAGACTGGGAGTTGGCATAATGGGGTAATCAAGCATGCTGATTTCGAATACATTATTAGTTCTAGAATCGTTTATTACTTTTATCGATTTTATCGATTTTTTGCAAAGTTTGAGCCATGGGACAGGGAGATTGCATAGGGAGCAGTCGAGTATGCTGGTTACGAGTACGTTATTAGTTCTTACGATTAGAATCATTTACTACTTTTACCGATTTTATCGATTTTTTTGTAAAGTTTGAGCAACGGGGCTGAGAGTTGGCATAGGTAATCGAGCGTACTGATTACGAATAAATATTCTGAAATTATCCGTTACTTTTATCGATTTCATCAATTTTTCGCAAAGTTAGACCTACGAGACTGGTATTTGGCATAGTGGGGTAAGTGGGCATGCTGATTACTAAAACAGCGGCAATATGGCATGTAGACGGGCACAGGGAAAGGGATGAGAGCTTTATCATAGTGTTTTGACAGGGCCGGGCGGAGCCGGGTACGCCAGCTAATAACTGATAAATTCGCATCGTCTTTCCGAAGACTCATATGAAGGCAAAATATCAAAACCCGCGGATGGCGATTTCAGTCAAAACTATAAGTGTAAAAAATTTTTTAACAGAAAATCGCTAGCACAAGTCCGAACTCTGTTGCATCATCACCTGCCTTCGCACTTTTGATAGAAACGTAAGAGGTCACTTTTGAGTTGCATCATCAATCTCGAGCAGTTTTTGCATAAGCCGAACTTACTTTCTGTGCCAACTACGTAGCCAAATTATTTTCAAAAACTGCGACAGCATCACTTACTCACTTTTGCCGCAATGAAATAGTTCAAAGCAAGCTACAAACTAAAGGCCGTGTATATATCAAGTAGACCATTTTTTCTCGGGCAGACTTCTTCGCTGAAATCGTCGCGATTTGCCCGAATCTCATCGATGTTGCATCGCTACTTTGAAAGAGCGATGCGACCTAATCGCTGAGATCAGACTTCTTTTCTGAAAGTTCGTATGATCGTTTCTTAGCTTTTTGGTCACCACTAACCGTCTCAGATTTTATTAAACAGTGTTTCAGGTTTTTAACGAATTATTTAAATTGGTAGTTTGGGTGGATCTCCTTTTCTGTGCAAAGTTTGCGCTGATTGAGCGTCTCTATGAAAATTTATGATTTCCCTGAAATGTCAAAATAAATCAAATTCGCAATTTTGCATTGCTTGCTCGAAAATCGTAAATTTTCATAGAGACGTTCAATCGGCGCAAATAAATTGTTAGAAAGAGCTGGTGAAGGAACCTGCAATAGGCTGCTCCGATTTTTTGTTGCAAGTTTCCGATGTTTTATGACCCTACACAGAAAATTCAAATTTTGCAATTTTCTGTGTAGGGTCATAGGGGCAATTTTCTTCTACCCGTCCTATCTATGCAACAGGTGGCCACTAGTAAGCAGCTGAAATGTCATTATAAAGAGCATGACTTACTATTTCATACAAAAATAAAAGCAGTCAAATCGGTTGAAAAAATCAGAAGTTAGAATTTTTGAGGATGTGCGACAGAACTTTCGGGCTAACCTAACCAGGTCGGTCGAAATTTCGCGCTTTCAGACCCATGCTAAAAGCATTTCGAATGAAGATAGAGAAACGCCATAAGCACTATCCGGTGCGAATTTCTTCTTCTTTCTGATGGTTTGTTTTTGTTCAGATTCTCTCAATGTCCGCTCAATAATCGGCAGGGATCTCCATCCCATGACTTTCACCCATCTTCAGTTTGGCTATTTTTTAGAATTCCCCTTTTCAACCTTTAAACTAGTTTTGATAAAATATAGAATAATCTAAATGCAATACAATGAAATATTTGGTCTTCATCAACTAACTCTTCAGTATTTCTCAAAATGGTTTTTCCAAATGCCCTTATTGCGAATTCGCGGATCACACAGTCGCTTCAAACACTGACAAACTTTCGGAATTAGGAATTCCAAAAACAGATCATCAATTAGCACTAATCTTAGCAAGCAACTGATCGTCTAAATGCAATAGATGTTTCGAAATATTGAATTCCGAATTTTCTAAGTACAACATAAGACACTTCTGAAAACAAAAGTTATAGTGATTTTATCCTCAAACATCATAAAAATCAGGAAGAAAAGAAGTCATATAGAAAAAGAAGAAAAAGCTGCATCGGATGACACCTCGGTTGCAATCCGTTTATTGTTCTACCAGTGCGTCACCTCTGCTTCGCAGAGGCTTGCACTGGCTTTAATTTCTGTATGCCTTACTCATTCCTCCCATAATAATGACAATGAAAGTCACCGTGCTATGCAGGCTATCACGAATGATTTGTAAACAGCTACTTATTCTGAGAGCTTTTTTGTGTGAAATCGGTATTTTCGCGTGGATGAAAGTTTTCCGAGAAGAATAAATGCAAATTTGAACCGGTTTTTGGACTTCTTATGGTTTGGTAGTCGCCATAAGATACAGTAATTACCCTGGGCTACATCACTGTGCAAAATTCTTTTCAAATAATCGGGTAAGATCTTGACAAATTGAACATTTACGCAACCAATCCTTTTTGGCGCCTTTTTCGCAAGGTAATGAACTTTAGTTTAATTTTTTTAGGCTAAAGTCCATGGCTTGCACATAAAGTTATCAAACATATCCGTGAATTTGCAAAAAGTTGTGATACAGGCTTAATTTTAGTGGTCAAAAGCTGAGTGGATCCGATTGACGCGCATTTTTTTAGGGTTCCACACAACGAATTCGCTCGTGCTTTTGTTTAGTGGACTCTCATATTGGTAGCATGCGTTGTGCAAAATTTGGGCTCAGGAGGCTGGCTGGAACACGTTTTACGAATTTCGTGACAGACAGACAGACTTACACACACACAAAAACACGTAAACATCCTTAGCCCGTTATTATAAGTAATGATGGAGATTGAGATACCTAAAGATGGAATTTGATAGTATCAAAAAAATACTTTTCAAAATTTTGAGAAGCCAGCAAGAGATGCCACAAAAATGCATTGTATTGCATTTTGTGTAGTCTATCCAACTGTTATCAAAGCTATTCCAAAAGTTGAATAGAAATTTCAAAAACTAGCCAAACTGAAATGGGTAAAAATCATGAGATGGAGATCTCTGCCGATTATTGAGCGGATATTAAAGGAATCTGAACAAAAACGTAACCGTTAGAAAGAAGAAAAATTCTGCATCCGATATTGCTTACAGCATTTGTCTACCTTCATTCGAAGTGCTTTTAGCACGGGTCTGGAAAACGGCGCGAACTTTCGGACCGATTCAATATAAGAAAGAGCAAGAGGAAAGCTTATTGATGATATAGTCGTCCTCACTCCATTAGTCGCCAGTGGATAAATTCAATATTGAGCTGGAGCAAGTCGGTTGCGGCAGAGCGCAGATGTCGCCCATAGTTCAAGCTTGCATATGTTTTTCTTTCTTTTTTCTTACTGTTAAACATTGCTACTTCTTGTGCTTCAATATGTACGAGTCAAAACTGACGGTTTCAATGTTGTTGAGCAACGTTTCTTACCTCTATCTTCGTTTGTTCAGCTCTGAGTTCAGGTCAGGGCTCGGCGCGAGCTGGCACCAGGGAAATTTCGAAACGAAGTCTCCTTTGATCTTGTAAATTTCGTACGAAGTCCCCTTTGACCAGTTTGAAGACAAGTCATTATTTTTGGATTCTGTAAAAGTATGTAGTAGGGTTTTCATGCATGCTGATTTCATGGAACCACTTTTCACAAATTTCTGAGCTTTTTAAGTGGTTGAATCTTGAGAAGCAGAAAAGCCCATTTTTCGATTGCGGAGCAGACTGAGTAATTTTAAAATTGCTAGAAAACGCTGAAAAGAAAACATTATGAAAATGTTTCTTCTCTGTATGTAAACTTTTACAGTATAGATACATTTTATGTAGAAAAGTATGAAAACTCATGTGAGCAAAGTGTCGGTGTCAGCTCAGCTGGCACCCAGCTGGCACGGTGCCAGCTAATTCAGAAAAAAGTTCGGCATAGCTTTCATTCACATAAGTTTTCATAAATTTTTGGGCTATAGTTCCGGTCCACCAACGCGCATGTACACACCAAATTTGGTATCATACTATTACATTTTGGCTGAGAACGAGGCCTTTGTTTGTTGATGGACAGCATGCCGGTGGCATGCCGGCGGCATTCTTGCGGCACTTCTCCGCCGCGGACCCCGAAAAAAACGATGTCCCCTTTGCTTCCCGCCCTAGAAACGATATCCAGCTTGACCCGGTGCCAGCTGTGCCGAGCCCTGATTCAGGTATACATAGCGCGCGGCACCTCCCAAAATGCAAGCTTACACATGAATTTCTTCCGTTTTTCT